CTGAATGTTGCTCATGTTACCCACTTGTGTGCTTACATACACTAGTAACACTTAATCTTGCCACTTATTCCTGGAAATTCATTATTCCTCTGTTCACAATGCTATATTATCCTTACTCTTCCAATTTATTTTAATCAATTTTTGTATGATTTTTTTTGTTCATAATCTAAGAATAGATAATCTGTAGCTATACTTCCAGTTTTGTCTTCTTTTCAGAGGTTCGTGTAGATTTCGGAAGTGTCAAGGAATCTCCTCCCATGACCACATGTTCTTTCTCCTTGAATGAGCCAGCTCAGTGGCCTGTCCATAGTATTTTTTGGGTGGGCTGTCAAGCAGAGGTTGAGTTGTATGTGGAGCAACTACTGTTTCTGTTAAAGCGAGAATATCCCATGAAGGATAAATTCACTTTGAGATTGTCTCAAATAATTAAAAATAATAATTCATAATTTTTTCTCTTCCCAATTTCTCCACACTCTTGCGAGACTGATAAGACCCCAATTTATTTCATATAACTTTATATATTTTGCCAAAGCATCCAAGATGAGTGTGTAGGCAACTCTTAATGATAAATGAACACCTCCAGAGGGCAAGTCAGCTGACCAATGCTGATAGTCTGCAATATAGGATTTCTCTGTTAAGAACGATGTCCATCTTTATGTGCCCCTGACCTAGCAAACCATTTTGACTGAAGGCTTGACTATATATTGAGCTAGTCAAGAATAGCCACTCCAGAATTATTTCTGAATATTTGTGTGTGCCTATATGTTTATTCCAACTACATCTTCCTATGCTCTCGGTTGTTCCTAGTTGTTCATAATAGCCACTTAAAATCCATATGCTCTTTTAATCCCAGTTGAAACATAAACAGGCTCTAAGGGAGTCAGTAATGTTAACATTAATCTTTTCCCGAAGTTACAATGCTTCCTAGTAGGTATTTTAGGCAAAATGCTACAACCTGGATTTAGCATAGCTAATTCTCACGCTAGACTGAGGTATCACTGCTAAGGATATTCTGTTTTGTCCTGTCTCTGCAATTAGGTGCCTGTGGATCAGGATTACTCAGAAAGCCAATCAGCATGTCTAATGTATGTCTGTGTCTCTTTTTGACAGCAGAGGGTCCTGAGATGAGAGGCTACTTATTTAAGCAGCTCAGTTAACTGCTAGTGTTCTGCACGATGAATCAGGACCAGGGTCACTAAGACCTCCGTCTGCACAGAAGAAGGTGTGCAGACTTATGTTCTGACTAATATATTTGTGTAGCCTCTAGGACACCATGAAATTTTACGGTCTTCTACTGTCGTTTTTTCTACAGTTGTCTTCATAATTTTTAAGAAAAAAAAATGCTGTGTAGTTTGCCTATTACACAAAAAAATTTCACAATTTTTAAAAATTCCACAATTTTTCACAATTTCTTAAAAATTCCACAATTTTTCAGTTGCATTTAAACTTGTAATTAGTATGTGGTATCTCAAATGGGGCAAGTGAGTGTGCGCAAAGAGAATGAAGGTACATGTGAAAGAAAGTTCTTGTAGATAAAGAAATGCAGAGGAAAGAACCTAAGACACAGGCAGGCAAGAGAAAACCCAAAGAGTTGATTCAGGAGAGCAAAGAAGCAAAAGACAAAGGCGGTGCCCTGAAGTTGGTTGCACTTTTACATAAATGTGCTGGATAGTGAGTTGTGGTGGCTGAGTGATTTCATGAAACTTCTGTTCCTACTGTAGGTGGGATGGAAGTTGAGGCAGCGATTTGTCTTGATTCCATACCTAAATCTGACAGAATTTGCAAGCTGGAAACCTAATTGAAAGAAAATGCTCTAATTTGGCATGAACAATGAGTGATAGTCATCTGTGGACTGCAGTTCCTGTCCTAGCTCTGGAACACCATGCTGTAAGGTGGCAGTGAACTGTATCTTCTGAGGAAACCTGTTGTCTTTTGTATGAAATCCATTATTTTTTTTTTTTTTTTGTCTGTGAGGATATACCTCAAGGTGATATCCTTCAAAGATAACGCTCCCTCCCTCTCCAAGCTCCCCACCTCCCCAATAAATAGGGATATAGCTTTCATCACCAGCTCCAGTGCAATTAAAAAAACCCAGTCATACTTGTAATTCAATGACCTTCTGTGTATTTTTATCTTTAAGGCTCAAGGAGAGTGTATCTTCATTACAAAAACTGTGAGACTCACCTAAATTATCTGTTGACCTTCTAGAAACAATCCAGAAGGTGATAGCCATTCATTTCTACACACAAAGGGAAGAGGCGGGTGTGAGCCAGAAGCATGTTAGGAAAGTGAACTTTCCTAGAGTGTAATGTATATTTACAGGAACCGTTTGCTAAGCAATTTCAGACAGGCCCATTTGCATCTGATGCATCTGAGTGTGCTTAATCTACAGAAAATAAGTCCTTAAGATAGTCAGGTAAATTCATCAGGGTAAATTTACCTACCCCATATGCACTTGTTCTATTTTTCTCTCATGTGGAAAAGCTTTCCTGTTGCATTTAACTTCACCACTTACCCATGTGACATTTTCCTTCTTTATTTAGATAGAGCCAACAATGTAGACACTCTGATCCATTGAAATTAGTGAGGAAACTCCTGTGGATTTCCATGATGATTTCTCTCTTACAAAAGAACCTTTCTGAGAAAAGCAAAATACATTTAAATTTCTGCTTTGTGTTAGACAGTGAATGTAAAAACTGTGACCATACCTAATGAGATCACATTCTCCATTACACTGTTTTCCTGTTATTTGATCTGTACTTAATTAAGGAATTATCATTTCTGGGTGCATCATACTACACGTGGAAATTAAAATTCCCATCTCACCTTGAGCTTGTATTTTAATCAAAATGTAAATATTTCTTTGCATTTTAACCAGTTCATAACTTCTAATGCTGGTGGCAATAGATGGATTTCATCTTTTAATTCTTTTTTGTAAATTGTTAATCAAAATATTAGAAATAGCTATCTGATATAAATCCCATGCTAAACAATTCTTGCCATATTAGGTGAATGGATACTTTAAATTCTGATCATCTGCTTTCTGTCTATAAACCAGTTATTTAATCTTATAATTTTCCTTATCCAGTCTCAAAATTTTCCTTAGGGCACCTTATATTTAATACTGTATACACTAATCCATCAAGTGAAAAATTGTCAAAGGCTTTCTGAGAGTCTAGATATCTGTTGCTGCTATAGTTTGGGTCAATGGCTATTTCCTCCAGAACCTTGAAGTTAATAAGATATTTTGATGTAATTTGGTTCATAAATCCAATATGATCTGGTTTTATACATCTTTATGCAATTAGTACATCTTTTATATCTTTAATACTTCTGCTATTGGCTTTTTTAGCCATTTCATGTTAAAGCCACTGGAACTGAAGAATTCACCTATTTGAATCTCAGTGAGTTTTTTTATTCTTAGCCTGATATGTTCTTGCAGAGTCTATTAATGTATATTTTAACATATATAAAAATCTGTATGACCTACAGAAAGACCGGTGTCACTAAAAAGCCATAGCAATTGCTTAGGGCTGGAGACCAAGTGGAATCAGAACCAAGAGAGTATAGCAGGACACTTCAAAAGGGCCTTAGCAGCTGAGAAAAGGAGTGTTAGATAGATGCAGCTGACAAAGTAGAAAGGTAGCCAAAAATACGGGTAACTGTTATTGTGTTTGTATGGATGCTTCTTTTCTTAAAAATTTTAGTTGCGTGGGTGGGTGCTTTTTTTTCCCCTTTTCTTGTTTTTTTGGTAAATTTTCTATATCCAGCCATTCAACAGCCTCAAGAGTCAAAACATCTGACTTGGAGATGTACTCATGTTTTGATGAGTCTTAAAGCATCGTGATTTTTGACATAATGTTGAAATAAAATCTTTGATGCTTGACAGCTGCTGGCTGCATGGAATGCTCTTTTTTTTTTTTTCTTTTTTTCCCCCTTTTCAGTGTGATGTTTACTACACATAATAGGAATGTGTGTCATTTTAAAGAGCAGTTTTAATTCCCTTTATCCAAAAAGTTTTCTGTAAAATGATAAATTCATAGGAGTTAACATCCTTTTGGTGAAGAATGCTGGCAATTTTAACAGCTGTATATGTGTGTAAAAGTGCAGACTAGGGATAAAAGGCTGTGTGAAATTTTGCACATGGTAGCAGAAAGATGCCATCATATATAATGCTGGAACTGACATTATCATCTTGGCATCCCTGACCAGTGCTCACTGTACATTAGAGAGGAGCTGCAGTTGGGAGGCTGTCAGGCTTCATAGAAACTAAAGCAAATGTCCCACAGAAGCTGTTGCAAATGCTGTTCCAGAGCTACTAATGTAAGCTGTAAAGCCAGATGGTATGGCTCATATGGCTCATGCATATGGGTGAGTAATGCAGGAGCAGTCCCATTGTTGCAGAATTACTGTGGCCATGGAGACTTGAGGGAAGAAGTATGATCATGTAGCATAGGAGTGGACAACTCACGTTGGCAGTAATGGCTGCAATCTCTAATCTGTAGGGTGATCACAGATCCAGTTATGACTGATAGTTTACACTGATGCTATGACAGCCCTTAGGGCAATTTCTGTGCAGCATTTTATTTTGTGGTTATTAAAGGTGGCATCTGCCCAGCTGCTCTTCGCCAGTGGTAATCACTTTTCACTTAAGCTAAGGGGAAAGAACCTCTGCCTTTATGTGGTGATGGCAGAAACAGTAAGAACCCAATGTCCAAGGCTGTGGAAAAGCCAAACACGAACTAAAACCAATGAGATAAGAAATTTCAGAGGGTTGCCAGTTCAGTTGATTTGCAGGTGTCTGTGGATGAGGGATATCTGTCAACAGAAAGTTAAATGAATAAAGAGAAGCAGAGATGGGAACGGGGAGATGCTTACAGAGCTTAGATGTACAGTACTTAGTGGAAGGGCAGACTTCTATTTCAAAATAATTATGTTCACCTTTGGTACTGTCTTTTTCTTTTTTTTCTTTTTGTTCAATAAAACAAGACTTCATATACCTTCTTTTCTCCTCCAAATAGAAGCGAGTGAGCAAGACCCCAACTACCAGCAAACTCTCAGACACATGGGAAACAAAATTCCCTTGATTTAACCAAGCCTCAGCACCTTTGGCAGATTTTTGGTCGTGCCCAGGCCTCATCACTACTTTTGGGGTCACTCCTGTGAGGTGCTGAAAACTCTGGCCCTGCGTCAGCAGCACGATAGATTGTGCGAGGGCTTTTAAGTGTGCAAATAGCCCCATGACTTCCGTGGGACCATTTACATACTTAAATTAAAAACGTGCTGAATTGCTTCGCTGCTGCAGAGCCAGAATGCCTGACGCCTTGTAGGACCGAGTCCTTGGAAATCTGCTTGATACATTTCAGTGCCAAAATGGGGACAAAGTTTTTTTGAAAGTCTGCCTACTGAGTTAGGTGTCTAAATGTTGAAGGCTGAGCTTTCCTGAAAATCTTTAAATATCAACCCTGGTAGTTTTTCCTGATAACCAGTTTAGCAGAAACATGTGGCCAGTATTTTTATTCCAATCCTACGTGTCATTTACACATCTTAAGGTGGGGGATTTAATATGAGCTAAATAACACATGGGCTACTGTAGTTGTTTGTTTATTTTGTTGCTTTAGACACACAAATGTGGGTCTGTTCCAAACAATGCAAGATCTAACGTTTAATTAAATTAAAACACCGCACATTTCTGAAAATGAAGTTGCCTTTGATTTTTAAAATTAGTCTTTCCAGGATGTCTCAAAATCAATTTGCAGTAGTAGTCATGGTGATACAGATTACATCACGCTTGTTTTCATGCACATAGGGCCTCGGATCTGGTGCTAAACCAGTATTAGCCTTTGCTCTACTTGCGTTTAGGAAACACTATGCTGCTAACTGCTGTTTTATGGATGTGGCTAAGGCTGTGTTTATCTATGAGAGGTTTACTGGTTGTGTTATGCTTACAAATTTCCATAATTAAGACTGCAAATTCTATAATTACAGCTGCAAATGAGAAACATTTTGCCAGAGCTTATTTTGACTACTCAATTCATGAAAAGGGACTTTTTTTGCGGCTGTTACCACTTCAGTTACGCCAGGATTTTTATTGGTCTACCATAATTCTTTCTTTCTTTTAACAAAGCTATGGCAGTGAAAGTTTCAGTTGTAGGCAAGTCTTCTGTTTTTTTAGTTTTCTTGAGATTCTAGTTTCTACCTTGTAAAACAACCAGCCATTGAGGGCTTTCTTGGAAGTTGAATATGAAGCTATGTTTAGCTTCACTATCATTACATATGTACTCAAAATATAAGTACAATGGAATAACTTAATTGCTGCTTTATATAAGAAATGAGGAAATCTAAGTATTATGCAGCAAAATCATGATTACAAGCAAGCAGTTTAAGCAATTCTTGGGTTTTTTTTTCTACATAAAAAAAGTATTGCCCCATAGTATGAAAGATGTTTATGAACTTTATTCATCAGCAACATATGGTTCATGGTTTGTGACAATCTTATACTCACAGAGGTTGATTCAGTGGCATAGGAGTTTCTCTAATGCATCAGAAGCAGTTCAGGCTTGCAATTTTGCCACTAAGAAGTACCATCTTTGGTATTTTCTAGAAAGTTTTCCTCTATTAGTGATGAGTGAAAAATCAAAAAAGGGAGAAGTGGTGTCTGAATAAATCCTCAGCATTGCACACAGTGTAGTTCAAGATGTTACTACTTGTCAGGCTGAACTGATCAGGACAAATTCAAAGTTTGTGTCCCGTGGAAAGAAAAAAACCCCACTGTAATAATATTTAACTTCAAAAAGGGAAAACACATAAAAATGAGAAAGCTTCTTGAAAAGAAATTTAAAAGAGCAGCCAACAGGGTAAAATGATTAAAGACCCTACATTAGAGGCTCAGAGTAAAAGTGTACCACCTATCAAAGAAAAAATGTAAAAAAGAACCTTTTCCTAAAACCAGCGTGGCCAGCAGTACAGCAACAAGATATTACTCAGAAGTGCAAATGACAGATCAGCAGGATGAGATGAATTGTGTCCCAGGATTCACAGTGCCATTGCAGGAGTTCCAGAAGAACTCAAACATGGAATTGTTAAATTATTAGCTACAGTGTGGAATTTATCTTCTAATCAGCTTCATTATTAAAGGAATGAATAGTATTAAAATGTGTTGCCTTCTTTTAGAGTAATAACTGGTTAAAGATTAAAAACAGGAGGTAGAAAAAATTATGGATTTTCATAAAGGGGTTGTCAGTGTGTTCTTCCACAGAGTTTACAGTGCAACCTGAACAACTTAAAATATTTATAAATAATTTAATAAAAGTTTATGATGAGCTGCGAAACATAAAGGAGTGGTTGGATATAGCTTTTTGGTCAGGCTATCCCTAAACTGCAAGTTGTCAAAACTAGAAGGGTACCATAGAACAAATTCTTGTTTTGTTTCTATAGTCTTTCCTGAAGTATCCTGTGCTGTCCACCTTCTGGTACAGTTTAGGCTTTCAGTCCGACCTTGTTTGGCCAATTTTATATTCTTAGGAGTCAAGCATGCTCTTGCCTATTTTCTTGATTTGTAAGATTACTGAAATGGGGAAGAAAAGTCTGGTAGTTGTAGTGATTGATTCAGTCTGGAGTCTGTGGAGACCGTGTAGAAGGTTTGTTACTTTTACTAATTCATTTAAAGAACTTTTTGCCTCGCAATGTTTGCTGAACCCTGTCAATTCACTGTCCCACTATTTCTTCTGTCTCTCAGAGCTCCCCAATGTAGCTGGATTTCAGGCTGATATCTCTCAAATACACTTAGGAAGTTCTTTTCATAGATTAGTTTAGCCTGAAACAACTAGATTTTTTTTTTTTCACGCATCTAGTATTTCCAAGAATTGATCCTGATTTCTTCCAGAGTGAGAGAGGCAAATGGGCCTGATATCTTTAAACATTTCCTATCTTCTTACACTTATATGTTTTCCTAAAAACATCATGATAAAAAAGGCAATTAGAAGCTTGCCTGATGATTCAGTCAAACTAACCACACATATCTCAGACACTACAGACATATGCACTATTGATTCTCTATTTAAAAACTTTAATTTAATTTAAAGGCTCTGAGGCCTTGCAGTGTTGCTGAATCTAATAGTAATAATATGTTTGATACATGAGTGCTAACTTAATTCCAGTTCAGGATATCAAGAATCAGAGACACCTTCTTCCCAGTTAATTGCTGTGTTTAATTTGTTTGCTCAAGTAACTCAATACTTTGGATTATAATAGAGACCAAAAGGTCTCAAACTGTTCATTGCACAGAGCAAGCCAAGAAATGCAGAAGAAGCCCAAACATGTTGAATATCCATCATGAAGAACAGCTAGTTTTTTGCCATTTTCTGATAACAATTTGCTGACATGAAAATTGACTATTATGTAGTGCTTTTGAAATCCTCCTGTACTGTCAATTCTTTAGTTTGAGTGAGGGAAATATCTAATGGTAGCAGACTGCTTATTTTGGAGAACGTAAAATGAACTGCTGTAAGCACCTTAAATGAAATACTGGCTGAATAATCATGAGATTAATTACAATTCTGAATCATTTTCTACTATGCCTGCGACTTGGTAGCGAGCAGCCAGAGCAGACATGGTGTTCACTGGTGACTGGTTTCGTAGTGCATGCATGTGCATCCTCTGAATATTCGCAAAGTAAACGCTCAAGGTAGGAACCCATCATCCTTTGGCAGTCATTTTAGTGGGTAAGCACTGATAAGCACATCTCCTCTGAACAGTATTGCAAAATCTCAGGGTTCTGGAACTGTTGAAATTGAACCTGTCTAATATTAAAGACCTCTATTTAGCCTAAAGTCAACAGGCACTAGGCTTTTGCCTTTCTGCTTCCATCTGACCAGGTCAAAACTTTCCATATATATGAGCTGTCTGATTTATTTATTCCTAAAGAAAAAATCTATAACTGCATAAAAATAACATACCTTAAAGTTTCATTGTCTCTGAGGTATCCTTCGATATCAGTTATCTAATCCTTAGTTGGGGGATTTTTCATAAAGGAAACTTCAAATTAAGCAAAACATAGTTGCCCAGATTACCAGAGTCTTGGGAAGATGCATCATGAAACTATGAGTTCTGCAACTTATTTTTCCTTACTGACTGCATTTCTTTGCTATTCTTTGATACTTACTTTCAAGATTTCTGCTGTAGCTGGAGTAAACAGTAGATATGATGTAAAAGATAACTATCAGCTCCAGAGAGAAGCCATAATGGCACAGATAATGCTCTCAGTAAGCAATGATTTCTTGAGATGATAATTTATGTGAAATTTGTGTGTGGTGTGTGTATTTAACCAACAGGACTGAGCATTTATAGTTTAAAGACGGTATATATGCATTTTTCTTACGGGTGCTGAGTATTTTTCCTTTCTGTTCTTTTGGAAGAATGCACTAAAATCTCCCTTTTCCCAAGTTTGAAACACTGAACATATTCATACCTAATTTCTGTCAATATTATGCCTAAAGAATTCTTTGAAAATGTCTCATTCACTTTGGCCCTGAAGGTTTCTCTGGAATTCATCAAGTGCACTGACTATCTGCATTGCCCAGTCGCTTGTAAAAATTTAGCTCACTGTCATCTCTTCAATTCTGCAACCTAGAATGATGCAGCATAACTTTGGGAAACAGCATTAAATTAGAGATGCAAGCTGCAGACTGTAATATTAAAAATGTGTTCTCCTACTGTGGCCTAATTTGCCTTTTTCTTTTTATGCTGATAATGTATCTGAACCCACACTGTGAGCAGTGTGTAATAAGTTTCTAGGCTTTTGGCATCTGTTATGGACAAACTGTGGATTCTTTGCAGCTTCAAACAGCAAATGAAATGAGAAGATCGATGGAATTCATGTCTAGATGTGTGACATGGAAATGTGCCTAAACAAATGTAATTTTGCAGCAGGAGCGCTTAAATAGAGCCGAGGCTAAAAAACCAGATCTTGCTTATCACATGAATTAATTAACTGAAAAACATTTCTTTCTCCCATTGTTACACAAAGTAAAGGGCTGGGGATTTGAGTCCTGTAACTGCTGTCAGAACCTCTGGCTCAGGAAGCCCTGAAACCGCGGGATGCTGGAAGGGTAACCAGGGGAAGGATCACTGTGTGCTTGCCCTGCTCTGACACTTTTCCTTAGGCATCTGCTACTGGCCGCTCTCAGAGCCAGGATATCAAACTAGATAGACCTTTGGTCTGACCCCGCATGGCCACTTTTA